AAAACTTTTTACAGAAAGTATCAAACGACCAGAGGTTCATTTCAGTGCCATAAATATTTATGGCACACTTAAGTTATGCCAGGCACTGTGCTATATGCTGGCGAAACAAAAATGACTAAGTCATGATACTTTCCTTCGAGGAGTTCACAGTTTAGTAATGGAAATAGGAACTTGGGCAGATGATGTTCTTTCTTTTCCCACTTTAATTTTTCCTATTATAATGCACATTTAGAAAAGACTGAAAAATCCACGGAAAAATTAGAATTACATAAAATCCCATCGCCAAAAGACAGTCTTTGCAGTCTTTTTACATATATATAGCCCTCTTTTTGGCAACATTTCTATCAATTCTGCATATTGTGTTTGCCACCAAACAAAAGATATTAGAACACGTTCCCACACTTTAAAAGTTCTTCTGTCACACTTAGTAATGGCTGTCCAGTAGTCACCTAACGAATAGGTTCCAGTTGATGGGTCCATCGGCTCAAGCTCAGAGGTTAGAAAGCTTCCTAGCGAAGGTGACTCACCACTGAGGACATGTCCGGTTTAAATGAGGCGTCGTTGTCCCGAAAAAGGTAAAGTGAAATTCGTAACAGTTAAGGCTTTCCTTGGGTCCTCTCATCCTATATATATATTCTCCTGACATAATTTTATTGGACCCATATGGGCTATGGTGTTCACAAATTCAGGCTTTTTTAAAGACGTCTACACTGCCATTTGAATTTGTCATTTAGGAAATTGTTCTCACTCTGTTTTCTCTGCCATCTGCCATCCACAACCCAGTGTACTCTGACAGGAGTGGAAAATTCCAGGTCAGTGAGTAGGTGGGAGAGAGGAGGAGGACAGCTAAGATTACCCAGAGCCTGAGCTCTGGTCTCCTTTTATATCAGGAGCAAACAGTCCCTCTGTAGACTCTGAAGGCAACGCGAAGTGGTTGTCTAAAGAACTCAGCAACGATGGTATACCTCAGGAGAGCACTGTTGCCCAAAATCCCGAGAAAGAAGTAGGGAGCGAGAAAAAAAAGAAGGAAGGGGATGGGCGGGGAAGGGAAGAAAAGGGGGAAGGGAAAGGAGAAGAACAAGGAAGAAAAAGGAGACAGACAGAAAGCCAGGCAGCCCTTTCGGAGGACTCTTTCACCGAAGGTCTATTTACTTCCTTCTGAGATCCCAATTATCGAGCTTCCTCCAAGACCTGATATTAAGGCGAGATTTTACAAAATGCATTCTATACAAAATGCCTACACAAAGCAAAAGAGCCTCCCACACACTCAGCAGCAGCCCCAGCATGCTACTTTAAGAATTATATACGTCAGATTTGCTAGGAGTAAAAGGAAAAGTGAATGATAACTTCCAAACTGACCTGGATATTGCCATTTTTGAGTCAAACTTTCATAGCAGATGGAATGATTCGGCCTGATAGTTATATATATGCTTCACCGGTGTGAAAATGATAACCGGTGACAGAGAGGCAAAATACCTTTGGAAACTGGAAAATTATGGAAGTTGGGGTTTTATTTTTTTAACTACTTAAATTAGAGTATTTGCCTATGCTGAAATGAGACTTTGAAATTATGGTGACTCGGATATAGATTGGGACTTTCCAACAACACTGAGAATGCTACAATTAATCCAGTAATTCATTTTATTGATGATGTACAATCAGGACGCTAAACGGTCTGAACATATCACTTCTCTTACTTTAAGTGCTCTACACACATTATAATTAAGCAAAGCAAAGTTAAAATCATACACGTAATTAAGGAAGGCAGTGTTAAAATAAATGAAATAGAATTGTTCTCAGTACTCAGTTTAATCTCGATGAAAGACCATTACATACTTTTACAGACGGTAGGGCCTTCCACACACCGAGCCCATAAGTATATTAACTGAGCCTGAAATTGGTGTTTAATTTCTTTGACTTGGAGCAGAATCGCTTCTCTTCTTTGCTGAGTGTTTATCATAAATAGAGGGCTCTTCTTCCAAACAAAATATTTGACCTCAGAGCCACTGTGCTCCTACAGAAGAACGGATCTCAATTTGGAATTTACCAAGAGCCATTCAACAGTAAGTTATTAGGTAATGCACATTTTTCTTAGGATAGTTTTGACCTGTTGGAAAACGTTTCATTTTTGAAAACTTGGGGAGAATATACACTTGCCTACATTTGTATGGAGCAGGAACTTACTAAATATTTCTTGAATTTCTTTCATCAAGAAGTCATTCCCACTAACAACCACTCTTAAATATTTACGAGGTTGCTGGAAAACCTTGCCTGAGTCTTTCCCCCCATATTTTACGCCACAGAGCGTGTTGAAAATTCATGATTATGCTTTTCACTATCATGGGGAAAATGAACATAAAATGAGCACCGTTTTTCACACAAAACATTAAGCACTTTAAAAAATATAGATTTATATTTAATATAATTTTATATTTAAATAATAATAAATGTCATACTTATATTTATATAATATATATATATTAACTCTTTAAATCTCAAAAAAGCCCTATGAATAAGGGACAACTATGCCTATTTATATATAAGGGAACTGCATCCACGTATGGGAATTATGTATCTTCCCAAGTTCACAATTAGGAAGTGCCAAAGTCAGGTTTCATATCCCTATGTGTTTGATTCTGAAGTCCATATTCTCTCTGCAACATTATATTCCTCCTGTATGTAGGCCCTAAGTTTAACCCTATTCTAGTAACTTTTCCAAAATATTGAGTGTTTCCTTATTATTCCCAGCTGTCTTTATAGGCATGGTGATCCTATCTTTCATAGAGAAATGATGATACATAACCTAAAAGAATTTTAATTCCAATGTTAGATTAGATCAAAATTAGTATTCCAGTGATCCATAATTTCTGACAAATGTAGAGGAAAGAATTTTATTTCGGGCTATCCTGAAATAGGATGGAGATTCAGGAAGATAGATGCAGTAACATGTTGGTGTTTTTGCATAAATGTATCCATTTTGATGTAAGAAACTTTAACAGAGCTCCTTGGACATTGAGATTTTGGTACAGGGACACTTCGAGAGCTCCTAATAGACAAACTACTAGACTTGTAGTCTTTTTTTTTTTTTAACCGAAAACTGCTGGGCTGAAATCTGAATATCTGAGACTTGATCTGCCCATAAATGTAACTATACCCAGCCCTCACGTCTTCCAATGTCACAGCCCCAGGTGGGTCGAAGACCTTCTTAGACTATGTGATGGCATCTGCAGGGGCCATTCCAGTTCTGTTTGGTTGATGACTATTTAGTGCAAATTCCTGTCCTGAATTTTCTGATTTTAAGATTCCCGACTGCTCCCTACATTGGGCAACTCCTAGAAATCCCTTTTTTTCTGGTAGAAGACCCATCTCCAATCCCCACCAACTGTTGAATTCGTGTGAACAAAGTTTTCTATCTTATTATAATTGGGTGGTGGTTTCAGAAAGGGGACAGTTCAGTAAGAAATTGGGGATTGACGAAACCACACTGAGATATCACCTCACACCAGTCAGAGTGGCTAAAATGAAGAAATCAGGAGACTATAGATGCTGGAGAGGATGTGGAGAAACAGGAACCCTCTTGCACTGTTGGGAGTGCAAATTTGTGCAGCCACTCTGGAAAACAGTGTGGAGGTTCCTCAGAAAATTAAAAAATAGACCTACCCCATGACCCAGCAATAGCACTAGAATTCTGCCCAAGGGATACAGGAGTGCTGGGATGCATAGCACTTGTACCTTAACGTTTATAGCAGCACTTTTCAACAATGGCCAAATCATGGAAAGAGTCAATGTCCATCAACTGATGAATGGATAAAGAAATTGTGGTTTATATACACAGAATACTTCAATGAGCAATGAGAAAGAATGAGATACGGGCTTTGTAGCAACGCGGGATGGAACTGAGAGCGATGCTAAGTGAAATAAGTCATAGAAAGACAGATATCATTTTCACTCTTATGTGGGATCCTGAGAAACTTAATAAATAGAAGACCATGGGGAGGAAGGAAAAAAAAGTTAGGAGGAGTGTATTTCAAAGACAAGAGACTTTTAAAAAACTGAGAATTAAACTATGGGTTGATGGGGGTGGGAGGAGGAGGGTGGGTGATGGCATTGAGGAGGGCACCTGTTGGGACGAAAGAATGCTGTATGGAAAACCAATGTAGAATAAATTTACATTTAAAAAAAAAGAAATTGGGGATTAGATATAATCTGAGAAAGCTCATCAAAACAGGAGTCCTATGTATATGTACCACCTGGTTCTTCTCAGGATGGCAACATAACACTAGGCAGAATACGTTTTCCTCTGTGAATGTATTTGTTTCTCTAATGATCTCAGATTTTTTGATACTTCCACCAACCCACGGAGTAACCACAGAGCCAAAGTGGGGTTGGAGATTGGAGCCATATTAATCTCAGCTTCAGATTGCTCAGAAAATCCTCAGTTACGTTTCTAGCCACTTTCTCCATACCTTTATTAATAAAAATGTGTCATATTTAATATCATAAAACTAATTTTAAGTGATGGCTTAGGGGAAAAGACTAGGGCTAACCACTTAGACTAATTTTGAAAATGTATTTGTTATTATGATAACCACTGAACTATAACTTTATAGTTTATTTTATGAAATTATATTAAAATTATTTTATCATGGCTATTAAACTTTACCTGTTAAAAATGTAGATGCGAAAAGTACAAAATAAAAGTTTGTCCTGGCCAGAATGGCAGGTAACGGATTAAGTGTGGGTCAATTTTGCCTATTACTGAGGATTTTCGGCAGATATTTTTATTCTGATCGATTTTAACTCTGATCAAAATGACGACATTAAGATGCACTCTATGGCGAAGTGGCTGTACCAAAACGCTTGTACCAAAACAGCTGTGTCAACATGGCCACATAAACATACTCTGCTGAATTCAGGATCTATAAACTTAAATTTAGACTTAACGGGTGAGCCCCTCCGTCATAGTTCTCTCCCACTGTATGCTGTGTTGTCTTCTCTAGCCTTGATGCACGCCTTGGTGTTTGGAAACGTGACCGCGATCATACAGAGGATGTATTCCAGATGGTCCCTCTATCACACTAGAACTAAGGATCTGAAGGACTTTATACGAGTCCATCACCTGCCCCAGCAGCTCAAGCAGAGGATGCTCGAATATTTCCAAACAACCTGGTCAGTCAACAATGGAATAGATTCAAATGAGGTAATGTTCATTTCTCATGCTGAGGTTTTCAGGCAGAAAGCACATATTCTTAGGTAAAAGCAAGGTGCTCAGATTCAGGTCTTGGAAGTGAAGTACACATCTACCAACTTCCTCATCCCTATTTTTTAATCCCTCGTGAAACCCGTCTATCTTCTTTCATCTGCTTTGGCTTATGTTTTCATTACGCCACTTTGGATTGACCAGTGTTTTATGTTAATTTGCTATTCTGGTCAATTGGATTGCCTAACTTTCATCCTCATTGGCCCTCTTCGGAGGAACCAATTCTTATGACTACTAAATGGTGTCATCTCGGAATTGAGATTAACTAAGGTAATGTGTGCCTTTAGAACCAACAAAGTAAACCCGAAAATATCTTCCAGCACACGTGTTATCTGTAGACTCCCAGGAATACTCCAGACCACCACTGTAAGAAAGGTATCCTATAAATCAAACAAACGTGCTACAACCGCTCCCTCCCAATCAAGCTAGTAATCCATACTTTTAAGTAATTATTTGGTTTCTTTTCTCTTCGTGTGATCATAATCTAGAGGAAACACCAGTGGGCCCAAATTCCATATCTTCTGTCCCGAGTAGGAGTCTTTGTGAGAAGCATGTCACAGTATGCCATACGTTTTCGTTCCAGAATCTTTTATTAATGTATTCTACTTCCCCGGCCTTATTATCAGCTAATTTTTAATTAGCACCTAACTGGGGTCACAGTCACTAAAAAAAAAAAATCTCTCCAGGACTATCACATACATATAGTTCCTCTTCTATACTCTTATTGGTCAAACAGTGGGAAGAACACCCCCTTGTCTTGCAGAGTAAATCAATTAGACTAGACTTACCCCAACTTGATTTCTTCTTTCATCTTGACAGCTTTTGAAAGACTTTCCAGATGAGCTGCGTTCTGACATCACTATGCATTTGAACAAGGAGATCTTACAGTTGTCCCTTTTTGAGTGTGCCAGCCGGGGCTGCCTCAGGTCTCTGTCTCTACACATCAAAACCTCTTTCTGTGCTCCGGGGGAGTATCTGCTGCGTCAAGGAGATGCTTTGCAGGCCATCTACTTTGTATGCTCAGGCTCCATGGAAGTTCTTAAAGACAGCATGGTGCTGGCTATTCTTGGTACGTCGGAGTTGAAAAGCTTCATGAAATTTTACCCTAGAGCATAAGTTAAAAAGAAAAAAAGGGGGGAGGGAGGTACTGCTATTGTAAGAAAATTCTGGATGAATATATGGAATCAGGCAAATTTGAATGGATTTAATTTGCCAACTATGTATTATTATTGTTCTGCCACATACTGAGTTTCCACATTCAACATATCATTTCATTCTTGTTAAAAATCCAGCAGTATTGGGGCACCTGGGTGGCTCAGTCGGTGGAGCGTCACTCTCTTTGCCCCTCCTCTGCTCACATATGCGTGCTCACTCTCTATCTGGATTCATAGTGCTGGATTAAAAACAAATCCAGGGGCACCTGGGTGGCTCAGTTGTTTAAGTGTCTGACTTTGGCTCAGGCTATGATCTCACAGTTAGTGAGATTGAGCCCCAGAGCAGGCTCTTTGAGGTCAGGGCAGAGCCCGCTTCAGATCCTTCGTCTCCCTCTCTCACTCTCTACCCCTCGCCCACTTTCTCTTGCGCTCTCTCTCCCCAAAATAAATAAACATGAAAAAAATTTGTTTAAATCCAGCAGAATGAACATTAACCCCATTTTACAAATGACTAAATAGTATGTTAACTTAATTTGTCCCAAATAACATAAGAAAATGAACACAGTTCTTTCTGATTCCTAAAGCCAGATTATTAGTCGTGATGCCTGCTGCCTCTTAGTGAAATAGCTGGTCAGTTTTAAAGGGGCATTTTTGTATTTTTGTGGAGAACAAAGTCAGAGAAGAACATGAAAATGGCTCCATCTGTGCTAGAAATAACACAAAAGTGATCATGCACTGAAGATGAGGTCTCATTGCAGTCACTAACCCAATATTGTCAAGGTGGCCATAGGCCTCTTTTTTATTTTTTTTAACTTCCTCAAAGAAAATTCACAAGATAGTTTGTGAAGATTTTGTACCACAAAACTGACTCCCAACTTTTAAGACCTAATTGGTGTTCATTGAAATATAAAGGTCAGCTGACAAAAGGTGTCATGTAGAGTGAATATAGAAAAATTCCTACCCACAATTTTATGTGTACTTCTTTTAAAATCACTCGTTTTTTGTTTATTCGAATATTTATTGGGGCTTACGAACGTATCAGGTTGTGATCTAAATATATTTTGAACGCCAATGTAGTACGCCACTGTTTAGAATTTGTGTTCATAAAAAGGGGCTAATTTATATTTAATATATTCAAGAGCTAAGATTTAGAAACAACTTAACCGTTTATAACATATTTTTACATATCGGGTCTTGCTTAAGCCTTCCTAACACAAAGAGACAGATAAGAGTGGTGTTTTCTGTTTTTTCCAAAGTCAAAGCTAACCTAGGTTTCTTGACTCTATCTGCGGCGCTCTTTTCCACGTCTAAGCAATGCCTATTTTTCTATCTCATCCCTATAAGCCTGCCATCACTGGATTCTAGTTTGTAAGCTTCAAGACAGATTATACTTTGGAAAAGGAAAGGAGAACTAAAATTTAGAGACTCCCTAATATGAGCCGGGTGTTTTATATCCATTATCCAATTTAAATCCTACTGCCCCGTTAGGTTGTTGTGATTATCTCCAATTAAAGGTGAAGAGTGGAGGCTAGGGAATAGTGAAATAAACAGGTGCTTCCCATTGCTTCATGTTTACTCAGTCGGCCATGTACCAGGGAAAAGGTAGGGCTTGCCTTTCAGAGCTTTGGCTCAACTCTTGACTCACCCTCTTATGTTTTTCTCCTGAACAGAAAAGTACTGACAGAAGAGCGACTGGGTTTATTTTCAACTTGGCCAGTTCATCATCAGTGTTAGAGTGAGGCTCTCTGTGTTTGTGTGTTTTTAAGAAGAGACTTAACATTCCTGCTCACTCTCAACTCTGTGAAGTTAAAGGCCAATCATTCTATTATTTCATGGCTCTAAATTACAATTGATAATTATTTCTGAATTTGCTTCAAAAACTTAACTTTAATCATAACATACCTTTCCATGGGCTTTCTTAGGACTATGTAAGTTTTGTAGCCTGCCTATTGACATAGCCTGCTTTTAAAAGGGCATATAGTTATTTTCCAGAACTATATGGCTTCATATGCTTGTAAGCCAAAATAATGCATGATGTTTAAATACATATGATGTGGTTTTTCCCCATAATTGTGCTGAATTTTTACATTTGGTAACTAGCAACGATACTAGCAATGGAATATGAAGGCAACCGCCATAACATTAGAACATAATAGGTACAAATTTGATGGCTTCTAGGTAATTAACATTATTTGTAATACATAATTCAACTGGATTTTCTTATTTAAAACATTCTACTCACAGCTGAAAGATTTAATCCGTTGCCTTTTGCTCTTGGCCCCGATTTCCTCCATAAATTATGATTTTCATGATTAGCATTTTCACATATTCATTTCCACAACATCAAAAATGATTTAAGTGCAAATTGCCACATGACCATTCTAAATACTCCTGTGTGGTATTGGGACTAAACCCAAACAAGGATAACGAATTATTAATATTTTATCCCTGTGATTAACATTATTTCGGTGGAGATTGAGTATTTTACTTTCCCTGTGGTAATATTGTCTTATAGGGCCAATTAAAATCAATACTGACTTTGATACACTTAAGCACATGGCTTCACATTTGATCTGTAGATATTTAATACATGTTCACTCTGCCAACAAAATGAATTAATATATAATGTTGTAGGGAGGAAGTATCACCAAACAGCTGTCAAGCCATAACTTATTCAAGCACCTCAGTTGTCCAATCAATACATGAAGGCATTTCTTAATCTGATGCCTGGGGAGGCAGTTGACTTAGAGGCAAGGATTTGTTATGGGGGTAGAAATTGTTTGCTTTGCACACCTTCATTTCATGTCCTGGTAATTGTGTTTTTCCAGCAATTTCTTCATTGTTGTTTAAAAGAAAATGACAAAGCACTGATAAATGTGTTCTTCACGGATGGTGTTAGTCTGCCTAATTATAATTAAACATGTTATTGCTCTAACCTGGACAGTTTGCAGATACATCTCATCAGCTACCCCCACCCCCTGTGGAAGAATAACTGGCTAGCAAATATCAATAATAGAATTCTGAAAAATGGAAGTAATAAGGGACCATAGAGATCTTGCTCTTCTTTTAGAAATAAGGATACCAGGACTTAGAGTAATTAGGCAACTTAGATGAAGGTCCTAATGCACGGTAGTGAGAAATTCATAAGACCGTACAATCAGCAAGGATGCAAACCATGTTGTAATATACCAGTGCTCACCTTGCCAGGGCTCAACAGTGTCCACAACACATGTCAGTGTTTCATAAATATTCACTCAATGAATAAATAAACTGGAATTCTTTCTAGGATGCCAAGTTTGGCAAGATGTTGGTGGTGTTTTATAGCTGGGGTCATTGTGGCTTAAATAGCCATGCTACAGTCACCGTAGGTAGGAAAGTCTGATAACTCTCAAGTCATTGTAGGGGTTTCTGGGTGGCTCAGTCAGTGAAGCGTCTTTGTCTCAGGTCACGCTGTCGCGGTTCGCGAGCTCGAGCCCCGTGTCAGGCTCTGTGCCGACAGCTCAGGGCCCGGAGCCTGCTTCGGATTCTGTGTCTCCCTCTCTCTCTTTCCCTTTCCCACTAGCACTCTATCTCTCGCTCTCAAAAATAAATAAACATTTTTTTTTAATGTTTAAATAAATAAAGTCACTCCAAACAGCAGTTGCTTCACAGAAAAATGTAAATCTTCTTTGTGGCAAGACACTGCATCGTGATAAATTCTCCTGAGATATACAGATTTCAAAATTTGCTGTATTCAGAGCATCTGGGCTATATATTTACATCTGTGCCCAACTTTGAGTTTTCGAGCACTAATTTAGATTTCTAATAAAATATGTAAGAAACAATTTCCAAGGTTAGCGTTATTGGTGACAACATTTAAATCCAACTTGACTTCTCTAGCACCATGTGGCTGTTTACTCCCTTAGCATCTGTAAGTATAGATTTTAGCCCTGTTTTTTCTTTGGCCAACTAGGCTCAATTTCAAAGTTTAAATTTAATGTTAATTCAGAGATAATATTTAGATGTAATCCAATAATATCCAGATGTTCAATTTTTATCTGTTACATATTTATGAACATCTCAGGTGTTCATGGTTAATTTGGCATGTTTCTTTTCCTGTGAAATTCAATAAAACAGAATTTTATTGAAGTCTGATACAAGTCAGAGGCTTTGCTTCCTGAAATGCTGGGCACGATAAAGGAATGAAAATGTAGAAGTTAAAAACTTAATTGAATGGAGGACAGGACAATTTGTTGTATACCATTCCAAAGATACTATTTGCTTGGTGGTTTTTCTGTCGATCAGTTGTTGGTTGTTGATTCCCTCTGAAATGGAGCAGGCGGCCATTAAAAAAAATAATGAAATTTAAAGCCCATGCAGAAGGACAAAGCAAAGAAACTCCTAAGTTGTAGCCATGAATCTAATGCCAGTATCCTCTGTGAACTTAGGTCATATTATTTCAGCATTTAACCTAAGTTTGTGTGAGAACTGAATGGATTTTCTTTCATGTTTCTCACAGGGATGCTGATAATGGCTGTGTCTAAAATCTGAAGCTGTAATCAGGGTTTTTTTGTTAGCTCTTTACATTTATGCTCACCTTCCTGCTAAGCGAAACTGATTCAAATCAGTTGAAAGATTTTAAAGATTCAAATACATTGGCCAATATTATCTAATCATAAACGCAAGGAAGCCAGCTAGTTCCAGGCAGGTGAATCCAGCCAAAGACTGATAGGCTGAGGTGTTACACGCAGAGCGTCAGGGGTGCTGGGTGTGGGGTGGGCACAGGCCACCAAATGGTGATATGTCTCTCTCCCTGCAGTGGCACAAGCGAAAAGCTCATAGCTTTTATTTATTCGCTTTCTTTTTTGATGGGAAAATTGGGCTTTCACACTGTCACAGAGTATTAGAACTGCAGCTTATGTTTCACATTTTTATGTAGTAGATTTCACCGTCCATGACGCGCAATACTTGATGTCTGCCTCCCAGTTCTGAGCAGAGGGAGGCAGGGCACGCTCACCTTCCTCGCCCTCCTGGCTTGTAGACATGTTTAGAGGTAGATGAAACAACCTGAGTATGTTAGAAAGCTGATGATGAATCCCACCTTACTGTGTTAGAATGAAAATTAGTAGTAATATACGTTCGATGGTCTCGTTTCGAGCCCTTTTGCACTCAAAAAAATCAGAGCCATTACTATGTCCCTTGAAGAGTTGAGGCAACTGTGACACAGATGTCAACTTCTCTGTCTAAAGTCAATTATGGGATGCTGAGGGACTGTCTGGAGCCCATCTGTGACCTAACAGTTCCTAACTCTGGCTCTCCTAGCCCTTACCCCCTAGACTACTGTTCTCGCTGGGAACAGTTTTGCCTGCCAGGGGACATTTGGCAATATCTGAAGGTGTTTTGGGTTGTCACCACTGGGGGTCGGGGATATGAGCTGCTGCTAAACATTCTACTGTGCAGAAAACCCCCGACCGCAAAGAATTACCAGGCCCCGAATCTCAACACCGCTGAGATGAAGGTTTCTGTTTCCCTTGTGGTGTCATCTCAGCCAAGTGATGCCTGTAAGTCAGATGAGGTCGCCAGTCTCAGCTTGCTTTTCTTTAAAATTAACCTGTCTCTTTTTTCACTGTTTCAAGGGAAAGGAGACTTAATTGGAGCAAATCTATCAATTAAGGACCAAGTGATCAAGACCAACGCAGATGTGAAGGCTTTAACCTACTGTGATCTTCAGTGCATCATCCTCAAAGGACTCTTTGAAGTGCTAGACCTTTACCCAGAATATGCTCACAAATTCGTGGAAGATATTCAGCATGACCTCACATACAACCTTCGAGAAGGTCACGAGAGTGATGTAAGTCTCACTTCTAATTAGTGCCAAGACCTAAAACATGGAGCCTGGAGATCATTTATAACAGTAAAAAGCATATGTCATGACTTCACTTGTAAAAGTCTCTGAATGAATAAAGTATGATTATTCGACCACTAGTCGAACAATGAAATCATTAGCCAGAAGTCAAGCCTGCAGTTTGTTATCAATGCTCTAGGAAAGTATTATTTGTAGATGACCTCCCTTAATTCAGCGTCTTTCCTGTTTATTTTCACATGCTTCTAACTAGAATCCGTTTCAGTGATACATAAGATTTAGCTACCGATGTGTGATTTCTCCCGAATGTCAAGATTCAGCTAGAAAAATGGCTCAGGGTTTGCTATGTTAGTAATTGTTTACCGTTCCACTTGCTTGTTATGGAGTTTGCTCAAAAATAATCTTTTTGTTAACCAGTACCCAAAACAGTCTATCTTAAAATGACTAAATATGCATAAAAGGATTCAAGCCAAAGATTGTCACACTGAAAGCATAATGAGTATTTTATGAAATTATGTATTTGCTGCATGTTTCAGTTTATACAAACAGCTTTCCTAACAAAATAGGTACTATGCCACATCCTGTGATTAAGCTGATCACGAACATGACTTCATTAGATGTGTCAGAGACACAAATGATTTAATAGGAATGATTATTGAAAGGCAAGCTAGAGCATGCATAGCATTCTGTAACAACAAAGGCTTAATCTGCTGCCTTGAGTTTTGTCCCAGATATTTGCAATACTCTTTTTTTTTTTTTTC